GTGCTGATGATTCATATACTTAAATAGAAAATTGTTTAGCAAATCAGTGTAAAACATTTTCTTTCTTTCTATCAAAATACCTCTGAGTTGAGTGCATCAATACTGGGTTATTTTAAGTCATCCTGCGTGTAGCTGATTTTCTTTGATTTTTTTTCCTGTGTGTCAGGTCCTGTGCAGTTGCAGGTTTCGAAGGTGCTTCAGAAGCTTTTGTTATTCAAGTGTTTTTCACTTGCAACTTCCAGTTGTTTTTAAATAGTGAGAAAAAAAGAGCTGCACATGACACGGTATTACAGGGTAGCATTTTTTACTGCACCAGCAGGGATGCTCAGAAAATGTCATTGTCACAGGCAAATGAATTCTTAGGATCAATTCAAAGGTACTCCTGGGACTGAGGGGATTTTTAAAAAATGTTTTATAAACACCAGTGAGTTACGTGTTAAACCACTGGTGTGATATATCTGTGGTAGAGATGGACAATCTGAGTTACATCTGGATTTCCCTCGCTGGAAAAGTCACCTTAATAAGTGTACTTGTGTGCCTAAGAGATCTAAGATTAGTTAAAGGACTGCTCTCAGCTCTTAATCTTGTGTGTAATCATTGCACATGCTGCTTCCCAGCACATGGACATGGAGGCCCTTACCCATAAAGTAATTTATGAGAATACAGTGTGAAAGTTGCGTCATTTCAGGAGAGCTCCAAGTGTGCTACAATTAAGCACATGCTGTTAAGTGCTTCACCAGATCAGAGGCACAGTGATTGCACTATTGTATGGTGTGTTTGATAAGATCTTGGATATTTTAAATGCTTGTGTAGAAATTCCACTATAAAATAACTGGAAATTGAGTAGTTTACTTTTTGCCTAGTGAATATTTAAGGAAAGTCAAAAACAAGAAGTTACGAAGTTTTAATGAGTGCATGTGGTGAGTATTTTATTATCGTAAAAGCTGGAGGGTTTATTAGCTGATATAGGGCTAGAGTTTTTCATTAGCCAAGGGCTTTTCAGGGTTTCATGGGATATAGCTGAAAACATTCCAAACAAATGAATATTCTATTTTAAAGGAATAATGAGACATTGAGGATTTTTATAGACTCAAAAGTTTACTAAACCAATATCTCTAATTAGATGGAGAAACTCTCTATAGAGAGGCTTTGCATCAGCGGCAGTACACATAGCAAATGTTTTAAGCATTTACATATCAAATACTGCTGGCAGCATTTTGGCAGCCGTCCAGAGCTGTAGATAGTTTTAATCACATTTGTTCATTAATCCTTGGTGGAATTCTCTTATATGGTCTCTTTAGGATTTTCATTTAAGCATGCTGCTGCTTCTCAGCAGTGGGCTTATTTATTTATTTTATAAATGCCATCTGAAGCCTTGAATTTACAGAAAATAGGTTGTGGAGTGGCTCAGGAAGCAGATGATGGAGTATATTCTTTTTCTCTCAGTACATCTCCTTTGTACTCAGGCATTTATGTACTCTCACTAGGAAGAGATTTATTCAGCAGTGTGACATTTATAAAAGACTTCACTCTTTTTTGACTCTGTTAGTTCTTTTCTTTTCCATAGGTTGAATGGGAAGCAGTAATTGAAAGTACAGCAAAGATGATTGTATTGCTAATAAAATGTCTTGAGAATCATACTACACTGGCAGAGCTGCACTGTGAGAGTAGCTGCATCCCCTGTGATGACTGATCGCTGCCTGGAGCATCCAAATGCAGAAAGCTGATGCTTTGAAATACACAGGTGCAACTTCCCAGCCCAGATGGCAGCGCTGGTGTTGGAGCAGAACTCTAATCTCTCAAGTATTCCAGCGAGCTGAGCTGCTAAGGCAGTAGTCTTCTTCCATTATCTTGTTCCTCGGTTAAACCTGACTTGAAAGACGAAACAAACCGTTTAAGACAACACTGTTGGAAAAGCTGAGGTGTTAACACTCACCTGGAGCCTTCCACGTGCAGTTGGCCTCTGAAATCATATCTGTTGTTCTCATTTCTGTGGCACATTTTACGAATGACTGTTGTTATAGGGATCAGCTTCGCTGAGAAATGCCTGCCATGCTAATATTTGTTCTGTGATGGATAGCAAAGGCTAAATACAACCTTCCCTTTTCTTTGCATTTTTAGATGGCAGAGTTGGATTTTTTTTCTTAGTACAGCCAGAGTAAGGCTGCGCTGAGCCTCCCCTTGCACTAAATTGCCTTTGGAGAGGGAGGAGGAGTTGGAATCATCAGTGAGAGGGACAGGCTGCACATCCAGGGTCTGAAAGCTGAATCCTGCAACGAGAGGGATTTTTTCTGTATTGTTGTGGTGCATTTGTGTGGTTGATCATCTTGCTATAAGTGTTCCCTTCAGGAAGAGGTCTATTGCTTTTTTATGTTGAATCATTCTGCCGTTGTATCCTTTTGTTAAGTTACTCGTGCACACACCCACACGTGTGCCAGCAACAGTGATGAAAGGGCCAGTGCAGGTCAGGTCCCTTACTGGAGTAGGAAGATCCCACCCAGCCGCACTGCCAAGTGCTGCCACGTCCCCCCCAGTGCCCTGGATGCATCTGTGCTGTGTTACATACGGGGGAAACTGATAGGAATGTCATATGTATATTACTGTATTTTAATCAGTAGCAAGAACTACTCTCCCTATCCCCATGCAACTCTTATTTCCTTCTTAGGAGGGTTATGTTGCACTTGTTACTTTCTGTTATACCGTGATAGTTAGTAAAAGATTTTATGCCAAATTTATGTTCAGTGAATTATCCCTGAAACTTGCGGAGCTATAGCAGAATTTAATTTGGCAGTGTGGAGTTGATGTTGCTCCCAGTGATGTCTTCAGCTGAAAATCTCAGCTTTCAATTGCCTTACTTAGAGAAAAAATAGGCCCATGTCTCCAGTCATTCTCAGAAGGAGTGCCAGAGGCACTGCCATGGCAGAGAGACTCCACTGCCGCTGTATATGAAGGAGTGTGGCAGCAATCCGTGCCAGAGGCATTTAGGAAATCTACCCCTGAAGGCAAAGTTTTCTGAAAGGTGAGGAGTATTTTAACAAATGTATTAACATCTATGGCATGTTCAGTACCTTTGATATTCTTTTTAATGTCTTGCAGTGGAGTAATTCAGAGGTGATGTGCAGCATCCTCCTGATACTGGCAGCAGAAGAAGCAGTTTGAATGAAAACTTAATAGAAATTCAGTGTGCTGTCATGCTGAGCATGGAATTGGTTGACTGCATAAATCTAAATGTCAAATATCTATAAAGTTTTACCAAGTGGAAATATGATGTTTTAGTACCATGTTGTCAACACATGAAAAGAAGCATATTAATTGACAAGGAGTAAAACTCTGTATAAGTTCTATTAAAAAAAAAAAAAAAGAAATCAAAAATACTCAAAGTAGGACCAAGATACCACCAATGTTTTTAATAAGAGGAAAATTTCAATTATTGATTACTTTGAGAGCTAAATATCATTTAGGCATTTATAAGGATTATCTGGAAACTGAGAAGCATTGAAAAGTTTCTATGGCAGACCCAAGTCCCAGTACATTTGATAGAGCACTGCTGAACAGCAAAATATAGCTTGGTGAGCAATCTAGAAGTGATGGTGTTTTATTGAGTGGTGTGGATTGTTACTTTGGTTGATTTGATTTTTATCCTGTAAGGAAATTAAAGCTCAAGCACTTCCAAAGTTGGTTATATTTCTAAAGATCGCCTTTGCGTGCCAGCTTTTGCCTAGAAACTCATCCGAAGATGTCAGCCATTGAAACCATTTCATGTGGAAGCATTGCTAAGTAAATTCACTAAATGCCTATTCATCCCAGTAAGATGGAGAGTCACTGGAGCAGCAAATGTGAAAATCTGCACAGCTTACTATACAGAAAGCAGTTTTCTGAGGTTGCCAAATTGAGAGGCAGAGTCTGACCCTGGGAGGTATTACAGCTCACATGAGTGAGCATAGGAGGAGGGTCTCGGGCTCCTACAGCCTGGTCTGTCAAGCTGGTTGATAGATAATTCATTTGGTCTAGATAAAATCAATGAGACTATGAAAATAGTTTACTTGGCTGATAACATTTCCAAGTTGTTGGAGGCTGACCTGAGAAGTTAAATGCATTTTGTACAGGATTTTGGTTTAACTTGGTTTTCTCTGCCTTATAATTATGAAATGTTTTCAAGATACAGTACTATTGACAGCTGTTTTATCTTGAGTTTTTCTACCATCAGCTTCATTACAGACCATTGCTTAAATGGTGTTGTACCTATAAGGTTGTGGTTTTGAATGCAACTCAGGAGATTAGGATCATTTTAATGTGATTTATTCGATTTTCTTAAATATGCTGACCTAGATAAATAGAGAACATTTTTGCTCCATTGTTAAAGAAATAACAGGCCACAAAAGCTGTCAAGCGTAAATACATTCTTGGACATGTCAGCTGAAATTTTGAAAATACTGGTGTCAGACTGCCTGTCATACTAATTGGAATTAACCTCCTAAATTCCTTTGTTCCTATTAATTCTATTGGCATTTTGACATCAAAATTCTCTGCTTTGTGCATTCCAACCTTGGCCTCTTCTCTATTACGAGGATGAAAACAAATAAAATGCCAATAGATACTTAACTAAATTCCCTAGGAAATATCTAGCAAAGCGTGTAAAATGGGGCTATCAATGCAGTCATCTCACAGCTGGACTTCCATACTTAAAAAGTGTTGAGCAGTATTACTTAATACCTACTCTGTTACAGTGTTTAAAATACCTGCCAAGAGTTGATAAGAAATTTGTTAAGATGTAATAAAGTTGTGGTTCCTTCCCAGTACATTTTACTGAGTAGAGGGAGCAGCAGGATGGAAGTTTTAGCCGGTTTTAGCAAGTTTAGCAGCAGGATGGAAGTGTTTTCAGAAACCACCTCCTTCAGTCTGCGGCTGGACCCCAAATGAGAACAACAAGTTTATAAATTGTTCCAGACACAGAGGTTTTCACAGTGTAATTTGTGCACCCTTTGTTCTTTCTCTTGCAGGACAAACGATCAGCTCGTAGCATTCCTGTCCAGATACCGCGATATGAACTTCTTGAAATCCCACGGGAGGGACAACGCAAGGTACGCTGGCCCTTCCTTCTCCTTATTTTAACCATGGCACTGAGGATTTTTGCACAGTGATGGTTTTCCAGTGTTACCCGAGTGAAGAAATCCCTAGTCCAAGTGAATGAGGAGGAAACCCTCTTCTGAGGACAGTTTTTTATTGGTTCACAGTAACTCCTTCCCAGAGTCAGTTTGTAAATATACTTTTATGGGGAGAGTGATGCTTGTGTTGTCCTTGGGGCTTGGCACAGATGGATGTTTTGTGAGCTAACAGTCGTTGCCTGCACAGCAGCACTGCCCAGTTGGTCCCAGTCACCCTGGTGAGCAAGACCTGTGCCAGCTGGGGTCTGCAGCAAAGCTTGTGCAAGCAGAGCCCCAGCTGTGGGAGCCTGTAGCAGCCTGCACGTACTAGTAAGAGTGAGGATGGTGGCTGGAGCTTATCACACTCTACTAAAGTTTTGAGGTCCTTGAAATAAACTCCGTCTTCATCCACCCCTGAACAAGTCTCAGGGAGAAGAGGATGTGCTGTGTTTTCTCACTTACCATTGTGGTTTGAGGGAGCAGCAGTGACCAAACACCATGTTCCAAAGATTTAAACAACCTGTGCAGATCAAAGAATTTTCCTATCCGACTGCAGTGGTCCTCTTTTCCCCTTTATCGCTAGTTTTGAACCTGTGCCAGCAGTTTTGTAACAGTTCTAGCAACTACATATGCTGAGTCCCAGTGGCTTTGCATCTAAAAATATTGTTTTATTCTGCTTGGGTCACCAGGTCTTGCCTTTATCCTATAAAATGTCAAGTGTGCTATAAGGCTGGGTTTAGTTAGAGTACACAGGGAATGTGACACACCAAGTCTCATGTTCAGCACAGTAGGTGGGCAGAACAATGCATAGGTCTCTCTCCTTCGTGGCTGTTCTTGCTCTTGTCACCAGATTTATCAATTCTGTCGTGTTCCTGTTTAAATTAAGGCTTCATGAGCATTCATCTTGTGCAGTCAGAAATTCTGTAGCAGGTAGTAAAAAATAATACTGTGAGGAATAATATTTAAATCCAAGTCAACAGTTTTCACAGGAGAGTCCCTTGTTGGGGAAATGCAGAGTGTCAGAGTGGTTGGCAGACTCAGCTCTAGCTGGCAATAGTGATGGACAGCAGAGTTAGCTTTGAAAAGGGGAGAGAAAGAGCCAGGGAAAGCAGTCGGTCTCTGCCTCCTTGCTCCTCTGGTGCACCTGAGTCTTCTCAAATTCCCTGAACTGGCTAAGGAAAATAGCTAATGAATTATGACATGCCAGCATCAAACTGGTTTAAATATGCAAACTTCAGCTGGATCAGAACTATTTAGATCAATTAAACACACTAATCTGATGTTAATTTAATAATAAAATGAACTAATGTGCCACTTGTCCTCCCCTCACAGGAATAACAACCCACTTAGTAGTTCAATGGTTCTCTTTGTATAAAAACTAAGTACCTTTAAACCTATTGCAACAAGTCACCATGTGTTTTTTTTTCTTCTGTATTTCTATCATAAATTCCCTGTGCATCTGGGAACATGATTTGAACTGCAGATTTGCCGACCCTGTCTGCTATGGTTGTCTGGTCCCTGAGTCCCCTAAGCGCTCCCGCTGCTGACCACTGGATGAATAGATCCTTTCACATCACCCCTTGGCATCTCCCTAGTTTTTCTTTCAGAGAGATAGAGTGGCTTCCCTTCTCCTGCAAAGCCCAGACAGCTGTAGAGACACACTCAAAACAGCAGCTGTGAATCTTCTGAGTAATGCTGGTGTTTGGTTAAAATTCCATTGTTTCCAAAAGCTGATCAATAAGCAGTTACCCCCTGTTTATATTGCGGATGAATTTCCAGCTCTACATCTACCTGTTGAGAGAGAAATTCTATCTGAAATGAAGATCTCTAGCCTGATATTTCATTTTTAGTGTTTCATTAACTTAGTCTTGTCTAAACTGGTAAGTGTACCTCTGCTCTGTCCATTTGACACACAGTTCCCAATTGACTTTGATTGTACGCCCAAGGGGTGTAAATTGTCCTCATTCCAGCAAGGGTTATCCCTGTTGGAATGAAGAAGTCCGCTGGGCTGAAATACCTTGCACAGGCAGGTGTGAGGAGAGCAAAGGCCCATCCAGGCTGTCACCCCATGTCTGGCTGCCTACAGCCCATGTCCCCAGCAGAGCAGGAGGGATGGGTAGTGCCTTACAATATTCTCCCAGCCTCTTATGACCTTTGCCTGGGGAATTTCCACAGCCAAACTTGGTGACTTGCTCATTTAAGAATAAGGATGACTATTTTTTTCTATTCATTTTTCCAGTTACTTTTTAAATTTTGGTCTGCGCTCGGTCATCTCACAGCCCAGGGGAAAAGAAATATCCCATGAGGCAAATGATAAGGCCAAGAGCTTAGTAAGATCTAGAAGAGAAGCAACAGCCTCGAGGTTTGGCAACAAAAAATAATAAATAATAAAAAAAAAGTCCAGCTTTTGGAAAGGATTTAGAACACAGGCCAGTTTTCATGTTATTAGGCAATAGCAAAAGCTCCTTTGGGATATCCTATCTCAAAACAGACTGGAGCAGAATTTTTTATTTAAAACAGCTAATTAAAGCCATGATAAGAGAGAGGGCACTGGACTGTACTGACTGCTCCCCCATGTACAATAATGATTTGGCTTGTCCAAGGTGTTTTTGTCAAAACATGTGAACTAATAATACAGAAGTCAGCATCTAAATATCATGGAAAACAATGTATGAGCCCTGCTGGTAATTTTAATTTTAATTTGTGAATGAATAATGGCTCCTAGGCAATAAGCTTTTCAGTTGCCTAAGTCTACTTTTTAAACAACTGGAAACTCTGAGTTTTAAGTCATTGTAGTCTTTGGATCATATAATGGAGAGAGAAAGATTGGAAGTACCATCTTAGAACTGAAGTGCTTATACAACTCGATTACAATGTACTTTGTATTCAAGCCATGTTCACAATCAGTACATGTTTTACTGCCAAATAAGGAGAAAAGCCAGACTCCCCTTTATAGAGTGAGGTTTTGTTTTACTTATGCCAAAGTCATTAAGAAGTGCACTGCTCTGATTTTCCTTTAGTGGCTTCAGTAAAGGGAATGGACATGACAATGGCTCCTACACTCAGCTGGAGAAGTGTTATTTCCTGAGAGTGGTGGACATATGAAATGAAATTGCATAGAGTGGCTGGAGTTGTTACATAGTACATATTGGGCAACACTTACATTTTCTCCTCTTTTCAGTGTCTAAGACTATTAAAAGCAAGTGAATAACCTGGTAGGTGTATAAGCTATTGCAGTTTGGAATATGCAGATTTTTTTTTTTTTTTTTTGACAGGAGCAGCACCTGGCTGATGTATTATAAAATATAAAGACAGTCAAATGTGACATCTTTGATGACAGGCAGGAAAAAAGGGTTTTTTTATAGAAATCTTACCACAGTAATCATTTGGGAAACAGTGTAAACATGCTGTGAAGGCTGGATGAGGTTAGATCTTAGAGGAATCTCGAGCTCATAGACAAAATACAAACAGCTAAAGAAAAGGCCATTAAAACCTTTTTATGTATCTGAGTTCTTTCCTTGTGCTGGTTTTTTCCCCTCATTAATGCTATTCTTTGCAGTTGTGTTGTCCCCTTTCTCACTCCTGTGTTCCAAGATAATTTTATGAGTATTGGTGAACTCTACTAAGGAACATCCCAATCCCATCCCAGTTCTCAGAGGCGGGAGAGACCTTAACTACCAAAGGGCCAGACCACTTTCCCAAACTCTCCACCTCGTTCAACCCAGTTCTGCTGATAAATACCTGTTTCACCAGCCTTTCAGACACGCCTTTTTTGCCCAGTGGCACACGCTATTTATTGGTGTTCTGTACACTGGGTTGATGGTGGATTGGTGGTTGGTTAGAAAATGGATCACACAGTAATTGCTGTTGTGTATTGCATTGATGAATTGCCCAGTAAGTACCCAAATAATAGGGAAAAAGATTGTTTAATTATCCCTGGTGTTGGAATAGTTTAACCACTTAGGTTCTAGCAGCATTTACGTTGCTGCTCATGTGAAATATTTGGTGTTTCATTTGGCACAAATTACCCTCAGCCATACTTTTTTTTTTTTGCTAATTTTTTTAAAACACTTTGAGCACATGGACTAAGATCTATTTTTTGCTTGGAAGTAGTTCAGCCCAACAGTTGCATGAGAAATGTAGTGACTGAAATAGCAACATGCATCTTCTCTGCAAAGAGGCTGCACTTAAAAAATTTAGACATTACAGCTAACTTTGAAATGTCCCTCAGTGCTTTATGATAAGCATTAAGGGAGCCATAAAGCCTTTACTGCTTCGGCTTGTCAATTTGCTTCCTTGTAGGCCTTTTACTTCTGCTCAGTTTTGGAAAACAGTGCTCTAGGTTGTCATTGCAAAGAAAAACAAAACCAGCCAAATGTCTTGGTGTGGGACTAAGCAGGATGTTCTTTGTTCTTTGAGTATCCAAGCAAGATCATCCACTGGTTCAGGAAGGTGCAGTAAGTGAGAAGGTTTGAAGTGGCTGTGCTTTATGGGGCTGGAACAGAATTAGGAAGAAAACTGAGGTGCTGGTAAAGCAATCAGAAATCTTATTGCTATCTAGGAACACTGAGCTGCACAGTTCATTTTCAGCTGTATGAATGGTAACTTGCACCCTGTCATCCGAGGTCCTGAGACGTCATGAGATAGTTATGGCAGGGAACATCCTTTTAGGCTGGAGCAGATGTTGTTGGCCCTGATGTACCCACAGGTCAGTAGCCTGATTTGGTACCTTGAAATCTGTACAGAAGAGACTCCCACTTGCCCTCATCCACTTGGAAATCTGGAATGTTTGAAACCCTATTTCCTTTTCCTTCTTCAGTGTCCATCATGCAGATCCTGAGATGTTAAGCATAGCAGAACCCTGGGTGAGATACTGTTGTGGTGATCACCCAGGTGTCCCTTTGCAGTGCTTGTGGGTGCTGCACCAGCTGGAATCT